TTGGTCATTTTTTCAATCTTTACTCCCAAACTTAAACTGGACATTGTCCCCAATGTCATAAAACACAATAATGCATAAAATAAAAAATAAAAATGAAATAAAATAGTAAGAAACAAAATAAAGCATTTGGACTGAAAACTTCCCCAATTTGCAATAAAATCAAGTGATGACCCCCAAACTTCAATTCTGCAATCAACTCCAAGGGTGGACATAACCTAAGATTCCTACAAAGAAAAGAAATACTTCAGCTTAGCACGCATGAAAACTCAGAAAACAAAACAAACGAAAAATTGAAAATGACATAAAAAGATAATGAATAGAAATATTGGGTTGCCTCCCAATAAGCGCTTGCTTTTACGTCCTCAGCCGGACGGTACCAAGAGTAATCATTCAAGGGAAGCTGGTTCTTGGAGGGGTACAACCTCCACATCATGCTCCGCAAAAGACTCGTAATATGGTTTGAGTCTATGTCCATTCACTTTGAACAGGTTTCTGGTCTTTGCACTTTGGATTTCCACTGCACCATGAGGAAAAATATTAGTTATAACAAATGGACCAACCCATCGAGAACGAAGCTTACCTGGAAATAACCGAAGGCGAGAATTAAATAGAAGAACTTTCTGTCCAATGGCAAAGCTCTTCCTTGATATCATCTTGTCATGAAATGCCTTTGATTTCTCCTTGTATATTCGACTAGACTCGTATACATCATTCCGAATTTCATCTAACTCATTCAATTGAAGCTTCCTCTGCTGTCCGGCAACACTCATATCCATGTTGTAGGCTTTGATAGCCCAATAAGCTTTGTGTTCTAATTCTACTGGAAGACGGCATGGTTTCCCATAAACTAATCGAAATGGGGACATTCCAATAGGAGTCTTATAAGCAGTCCTATAAGCCCACAATGCATCGTTCAAGCGCATGCTCCAATCCTTCCTACTAGGACTCACAGTTTTCTCCAAAATTTGCTTTACCTCACGGTTTGATACTTCTGCTTGACCACTAGTTTGCGGATGATAAGGTGTAGACACCTTATGTGTGACATTGTACTTCCTAAGCAACGCTTCAAATGTTCTATTGCAAAAGTGACTCCCTCCATCGCTAATGATTGCTCTAGGTGTCCCAAATCTTGCAAAGATGTTAGCCTTAATAAAATTTGAAACAATTTTTGAATCATTAGTTTTGGTAGCTTTCGCTTCCACCCATTTAGAAACATAATCCACAGCCAATAAAATGTAAGGAAAACCATTTGAAGATGGAAAAGGTCCCATGAAATCAATGCCCCATACATCAAAGATCTCAACAATCAAAATAGGGGTTTGTGGCATTTGATTTCTTGGGCCTAAGTTACCTGTTCGTTGACAACGATCACATGTTGCACAAAACTCGTACGCATCCTTAAACAAACTAGGCCAATAAAAACCACTCTCTAACACCTTAAGGGCAGTCCTTTTTGCTCCAAAATGGCCACCACATGCATAAGAATGACAAAAAGTTAGAATAGATTTAAACTCAGATTCAGGGACACACCTTCTAATCAATTGATCAGGGCAATATTTCCACAAATAAGGATCATCCCACTCGTAGTATTTGGCGGTTTTGACAAGCTTATCTTTCTGAGCACGTGTAAAATCATCCGGAATCTTTTTGGTGACCTTGTAATTGATAATATCTGCATACCAAGGGTCAGTAACCTTTAATGAAAACAATTGCTCATCCGGAAAACTCTCACGTAAAGGGATGAAATCTTCCTCTATGTTTGAGTGCACAAGTCTGCTAAGATGATCTGCTACAACATTCTCACTCCCTTTCTTATCCTTGATCTCCAAGTCAAACTCTTGAAGCAGAAGTATCCATCGAATGAGTCGCGGTTTTGCATCTTTTTTTGTGAGTAAATACTTCAAAGCTGCATGGTCAGAAAACACAATAACTTTAGTTCCAATTAGATAAGATCTAAATTTTTCTAAAGCAAATACAACAGCTAGAAGCTCCTTCTCTGTTGTTGAATAATTCAACTGTGCATCATTGAGTGTTCGTGATGCATAATAGATGACATGTGGCACTTTGTTGACACGTTGTCCTAGAACTGCACCGACAGCATAATCTGAAGCATCGCACATTAACTCAAAAGGTAAACTCCAATCTGGTGGCATGATCACAGGAGCCGTGGATAACAACTCCTTAAGTTTGTTGAATGCTACCACACACTCTTCATTCATATCAAATATTACATCCTTTTGAAGCAAACGGCACAAGGGTCTAGAAATCATTGAGAAGTCTTTCATAAACCTACGATAGAAACCTGCATGTCCAAGAAAAGAACGAACCTCCCTGACAGTAGTAGGGAGAGGTAAAGAACTAACAATTTCTACTTTAGATTTATCAACTTCAATTCCATTTTCAGATATGATATGCCCTAAAACTAATCCATGTGAAACCATGAAATGACATTTTTCCCAATTTAAGACCAGATTAGTTTCTTGACAACGTTTTAAAACTAAGGACAAATTATGTAGACATGTATCAAAAGAATCACCATAAACTGAAAAATCATCCATGAACACTTCAATTATTTTCTCAATCATATCAGAAAAGATACTTACCATACACCTTTGAAATGTGGCGGGGGCGTTGCAAAGTCCAAACGGCATCCTCCGGTATGCAAATGTGCAAAATGGACATGTGAAAGTCGTCTTTTCTTGATCCTCCGGAGCAACTGCAATTTGATTATATCCAGAATAGCCATCAAGAAAGCAATAATGAGAATGACCAGCTAACCTTTCTAACATTTGATCAATGAATGGAACTGGAAAGTGATCCTTGCGTGTGGTGCTATTTATCTTCCGGTAGTCTGTACAGACTCTCCAACTATTTTGCACACGTGTAGGCACTAGCTCACTAGCTTCATTCTTAACAACTGTGACTCCGGATCGCTTCGGAACTACTTGAACAGGGCTCACCCACTTGCTGTCCGAGATAGGATATATGATGCCAACATCAAGAAGCTTGATAACCTCTTTCTTGACGACCTCCATCATGAGTGGGTTCAAACAGCGTTGAGCTTCCCTTGTAGGTTTTGCACCTTCCTCCAGCAGAATCCTATGCATACATGTAGCTGGATTTATGCCTTTGATAACTGCAATGCTCCAAGCTATGGCAGTTTTGTGATCCTTCAGTACCCGGATCAGTTTCTCCCCTTCTTCTGCTGTGAGTTGTGATGATATGATGACCGGTAATGTTTCATCCTCTCCCAAAAATGCATACTTCAAATTTTCAGGAATCGGTTTAAGCTCCAATTTGGGTGCCTGAATCACAGAAGGAAGAATTTTTTCGTTAGAAGTAGGAAGAGAAATAAAATGGGAAGAAAACTTACCATGAATTGGTGAAAGAAACTCAAGGGCTGCCACTGTCTGGATTAATTCTTCTTCAATGTGCTCGGAATAATTAAGTTTTCCATGTGTAATGCTATGCACTAACGCCTTCTGTAAATTGTCTTGTCCTACACCTTCATTAAAACAATCCTGCACAAAATAATCAAACGCATCAATAGACAAACAAGATTCAAAATCACTAGGGTACCTCATAGCATTGAAGATTTTGAACTTGACGCTTTCTCCATCAATTTCCATGGTTAAAGTACCATCGTAGACATCAATCTTCGTACGCGCCGTTCTAAGGAATGGTCTTCCCAATATAAGAGGAAGTGCAGTAGGCATAGGGTCATGTTCCATCTCAAGAACAAAAAAATCAGCGGGAAAAATAAGTTCATTCACTTGCACAAGTACATCCTCCAATAGGCCTTTGGGATATCTATTTGAACGATCTGCCAACTGGATTACTACCTTTGTTTCCTTCAAGTCTCCAAGGTTTAGTGATTCGTACACTGAATATGGCATCAGATTGATGGATGCCCCCAGATCGCACAATGCTCTTCCAAACTCTTTCCCTCCAATTACACATGGAATGGTAAAGTTACCGGCATCCTTCAACTTCGGTGGTAGCTTTCTCTGCAAAACAGCTGATACTTCCTCGCTTAATGCCACAGTTTCTTGATCATTGAATCTTCTCTTGTTCGTACAAAGCTCTTTAAGGAACTTTGCATACTTGGGCACTTGTTTTATGGCATCTAAAAGAGGTAAGTTCACTTGGACTTGTCGGAAAGTATCCAAAATTTCCTTATCAGTTTGCTCCTTCTTAGACTTCATAAACCTACGAGGAAAAGGAATAGGGACACATGAGTTAAATGAATTTTGAACTTCTTTACTTACCTTATCAGAATCTTTTTTGTTTAATTATGCATCTTTATGAGACTTTTCAGTTTCTGTTGAAGCCTCATCTTGCTCAAGATTTTTGGTTTGTTGCTCCCCTTGCTCATTTGTATCTTTTCTAGTCCTCTTTTGCATCCTTGGCTGCTCAAAAACTTCTTTTCCACTCCTTAAAGTCACAACATTCATCTGCTCCGCATTTGGATTCACCACGGTTTGGCTAGGCAACCTTCCTGGTTGATGTTGTTGCCCCATCAAACTTGCTAACTGACTCATTTGGCGCTCAAGGTTTTCAATTGCTTTGTCTGTTTTCTGTTGATCAGATTGAGTAGAGTTAGCTAAAGAAGCAATTAAATCCTCAAGAGACTTACTTGGAGCTTGTTGTTGTTGAGGCTGAAACGGTGCCTGCGGTCTTGCTTGAAAGAAGCCAGGTGGACGGTTATAGTTGTTGGGAACAGATTGTTGTCCGTTGTCTTGATTGTTCCACTTTAAATGTGGATGATCGCGCCACCCTGCGTTATAGTTGTTGGAGTATGGATCATACTTTTGTCTTTGTTGCCCCTGAAACCCTCCTAACGCATTAGCTTGCTCAAGACCACCTTGATCCATTAACGAAGGGCACATATCGGTGGCATGTCCCATTATTGAACAAACACCGCACACCTGTTTTGGAGCCACCATAACCTGTTGCACAAGATTAGTCAAGTTAGCTAATTGTAATTCAATACTAGAGTTAGCACTTACCTCATTAACTTTCTTAAGAGGTAGCTCATCTCTCCCTCCAAATTGTCGTGTGTTGCCAGCAATGTTCTTTAATAATGCCTTAGCATTTGTTGGTGTCTTGTCCATGAATGCTCCTCCACTTGCTGCATCAAGCATTACACAATCAGTACCACACAATCCTTCATAAAAATATTGTATTAAAAGATGCTCTGAAATTTGATGATTAGGACAAGATGCAACCAAATGTGTGAATCGCTCATAGTAATCTCCAAAGGGCTCTCCATGTTGTTGTCGGATTGCACATATGTCTTTCCTTATGCTTGCAGCTTTTGTGGCCGGAAAATATTGCTCCAAGAATGCTTGCTTCACCTGGTTCCATGTGTTCATTGATCCTGGAGGTAAATTGTAAAGCCACTCCTTTGCCTTAGCTTCTAATGTAAATGGGAATGCCCTCAACTTGACTTGCTCCTCATCCACATTGGCTGGTCTCATTCCCGAGCATACCACATGAAACTCCATGAGATGCTTGTTGGCATCCTCTGTTGAGAAGCCATGGAACTTAGGCAAGTAGTGAATCATGCCGGACTTAAGCTCAAATCCTCCTCCTGCATTTGGATATGTGATGCACAATGGTTGTTGATCCGTATTAGGCGTTGCCAACTCCCTCAAAGTCCGGTTATCAGCCATGCCTTCTTGTGGTTCTTCCTCCTCTTCCGAACTCAAATGTGGTGGAGAAGATGGTGGTAAAGACACCGATGCACGCTTCTGCTTGATTGTTCCTCGAAGCTTTCGAAATGTTCGTTCAACCTCAGGATCGTAGGAAGCTAGATCAATGCTCTTGGACCTTCGAGTACGCATATACTACGAAGAGTACCTGAAATAAAAACAAAAACAAAAACAAAAACACTAATTAGACAAGAAAAGAAAACAATAAAAAATAAGTAATTAGAAATAACAATCCCCGGCGACACGACGCCAAAAATTTGATAGGATTAAAAGCACACCACAAAGTAGCACACAAATGTCCTATTAATTTTCCTTATTAACAATAATATTTGTCAATTGTAGCATATGAAAATAAGGGTTTTTCCCGCAGAAGATTGTTTTATCTAACTACTTAAAATGTCACAAAAACTGGGCTGCTGTCCCTACTGACCAGCCACCGAAAAATAATTATTAGAACGACTTACACTTATCTAAAGTCTACGAAATTTTATATGTAGATACTAGACACACAGAGCTACACTCACACAAATTTTTGGGATTTTTGGAGTTGATTTGATATTTAAATTAAATCGAACAAAAACAAGACAGAGACAGATTTTTAAGTAGTTCACAAATTAAGAAAAACGAGTTAGGGGAATTGCTATCCACCACCAAATAATCATGCAAACATGTTATGTTTCATTCAAATTCCTTTCATTTTTGGATGAAGATGCTCAAGTTGGCTTAATGTTAGAACTCAACCTATTACTCTTTCTTATGTAGTATGTTAAGAGAATGGCGTTTTCAACTTAACTTAGTCTCTAACATGCAATCTCGAATGGTGTGTTCATAGATTTAACAAGTAGAAATCATTAAGAACGAAAAGAGTTTGAGTCATCACAAGGCATCGTAAGTACTAGTGTTGTCTTACTTATCCTAGAAATTGATTCACATGTGAATCGTAATTAACAAGTACTACTCTAGAACATATGTAGGTCCTCATTCGACAAGGGCAGGCACACACATATTCATAGCATTAGAATCCTAGATATGCTTACTAAGTATGCATCCATAGAAAACACATAAAGAATTCATCAATGAGACAAGTAGTGAACCAATTTTCATCCATTCGTAAAAGTAATTCAAACGAAATGTCATAACAAACTTGCAATCATATTAGGGGCTTCAAAACAGCCCCTAACTACTAAAAATTAGTTACACATAATTCTCAAATTAAACCAAAAGAAAGACATGAGTTTGAGAAGATAAAACCCAGAGAAGAGAATGCCAAGATTTCCTCCTTCCTTTCCTTCCTTCCCCAACGCAGCAGCCTTGCCTTTTTCCCTTGCTTTGCTTCTTTTTTTTTCTATCTTTTTTTCACACTTTTTCTCCCCCTTTTTTGCTGCAACCTGTAGGTATTTTCTTCTTTTCTGCTGCCACAGTTTTTTCTCCATAACTCACCCCACTAACAGCCATTTAGTGATGACAATAAGTGGGAGGAAATGCCAAAACAATTGTAACTCTTTGGGCAGCCTTTATGCCCATTACTCTCACTTAATTTTTCATTTCCTCTGATATTTGAATAGGTGTTAGCTGGCTTGTTCTTGGCTGCATCAGTTTTCGCTGTTAGTTTTATGGGATTTATTGCTTTCAATGCTTCTTTGTCAGTTACAAACTGCTCAGCCTCCTAGGAACCTTTCAGTGTTTGAACGGCCATAACTTTTTCTAGAAAAATGATATTAACAATCCGTAAAATGCTCCAGAAAATAGACATCCGTAGCTTTCCAAGCATATAAGGCTCATTCTCTAATTCATTCTGAGATGTCCGCAACTTGCTTCCAAAGTCAGCTGACCTGCACAGGCAGTTTTGACGAATTTATTACTTAACATTCCACTTGTGTTATTTTTCTTTTCTTTACTTGACAAATCCTACAAAACACAAAAAACAAGGTAAATAACTCAAAAATATAAGGAACTAACTAAGAAAAGACAAGTGAATTTGATATAAAATATATATAAATATGAGCTTATCACTAACAAATAAGGAAATTGCAACAATCTGAATTCCATAGTGGGTTTTTGTATATAGGGTTGCTGGTTCTTCCACTGAAGCGAGTTAGCCAGTGAAGAACAGAAGGGGAATGCAGACTGTGAAGAAGTGTGTTCTCAGTGTCTTACACTCGTAGTTGTACATTTTGTCATGAACTGCAAAAGGAGTGATAATTAAGTTGACTTCCACAAATTAAGACTATCCAAAGCAACGTGTAATGACTGAAATGGTTCAAATATTTGCATAGATATGATCTTTTACACAGCCAATTCATGCAGCACAATGGATTGCTAGGCCTCTCGAAACTGTTTTCGTCAGTGGGAAGATGTTAAAGAGTTCAGTGATCGTACTGCAAAATGACCTTGGTTTTGGAAGATCCATACCTCGATTCATATCTTATTTGGAGGATCCAAAACTGTCATAAATCGATCCTCATACCTTAATGGATCCAAAACTTCAAAATCATCATTCATCTGGCAAAAGGAACTTTTTTTTTCCTCTATAGACAACGTCTCAGAGTTTTAGCTAAAATAGGAAGTTAGACAGATTGTATAATCAATGATGGTAAGGGTTTGATTATTGAATATAAATTTATTGATAAATTCTAGTCTTACTGTTAATTTTATCTTGTAGTTGATAGTAATTATCCCACGGGATAGAAATGACAATTCACGTTTAAAATTTAAGTTGGATCTATAGTCAGATTAAATGGTTCTATCCTAACAGAAAACTAGATCATTCCCCGCCAATCGGATCATAAAAATCTCCGACGGCGGCATAAAAGGATAAGCCTACGCTCCTCCAACGGCAATCAAACGCCACGCTCCACTGCTTCTTCGCTGGAGCCTCTCACAGTGCTACTGCAACTCGCATCAAGATTCAAGAACTGGTACGTAAACTGCAATAATTATCAAATTCATGAGCTTTTCTATCTGGCTTTTTCAGTTCATTAATTTTCCGAATTATCATTACAAGAATCATCTCGGCAATCAATCAGAGCAAAGTTTATCACTTTTCCCACTAATCATTCTTTGACTTGCTTTGATTCTGTAATGCAAGTTGACATTGGTTCCTTAGGAATTGACTTTCTGTGATGGTCCGGAGGATTACCCTCTTTCTTTATTTCTTCCAGAATTATAATCAGTAATTATGCTTATTACTGCTGCATTACTTGATGATGCATTTACATAGTAACTTTTGCACTGCCACGTGAATTAGTAACACCACACGGTGATGGCATTGACGGATTTAAGTTTTTAACTTTAATTTTTGAGTAATCAAGTTCTCATTGTAAAACTCTTGGATTTCACTAGACGTTAGAAGCATTCAATTTTTTTCTTGTTCTTCCTATAAAATTATGTTAGTTATGTAGGGACCACTTAAGGGTATAGATACTCATCACATGGCATATGGATTGAAACATGACAATGCCTTCTATCTGTTTCTGAAAATTTTCTTATCCACTTTGTTTGTTCCTCCATTGAGGAATTCTATGCAAAGAAAGCTGAAACCTTGCTGTGAAATGCTGTTGCGAGTCCAAGTTAAATGACCGAAATGATTTTTTGATGTTCATTTCAAAAACAGCTGATACAACTTGGACTTGCAACGGCATTTCAACTTGAACGAAAACCAGCTTTTTCGTTGTATGAGCTGGTTTTCGTTATCCTCTCATTTTCCTAGGTTCTCTCAGTCCAGTTTTTTCTTCTAGTGATTTTTCGGGAAAATGTACCCGGGTGGATACACTGCTGAAGTTACAAGCTTGTCCTCTAAAGCTACAGAGGAGGATGTTTACAATTTTTTCAGTCACTGCGGTGCAGTTGAGCATGTTGAAATCATCAGGTAGAATTCATCTTTCCCTGCTTCTAATTATTGAGAATGATCCCATTTTTTGTACTGAATCTGGAAAATGGTTGTCTAGTCATGTTTTATGTGTGGGGTTTGTTCACTGTAAGCTCGTTGAATCAGTCAGAAGCTGGTTGTTTTCGGAAATTGGTTAAAAGGAACAATGACTTATGTGAAGCCTCTTCAATTTCCTTACGTAGTACTTAGTTGTTAAAGAAATTGAAGTCGGCAGCATAAAAGGTTTAATTTTGATTTCCACGAGTTTAGAAGTCATCACTGCAGCCAACGAGGGTTGGTTGAGAAATCTTCAAAAGTGAGAAGGCAAGGTTCAAAAGATCGAATTTGAGAAGTCATGTTTGCACGAGTTCTAGTTTCCACAATCCTCAGTTAATTAAGTCCTCTGAAATTCCTTAATGAATGTGTATCTGATTAATGCTTTTGTTGTTGGAAACAGATCTGGTGAATATGCCTGTACCGCATATGTGACATTCAAAGATGCTTTTGCTCTGCAAACTGCTATACTACTCAGTGTAAGTTGGTGGTCACTCTACCCTGCAAATGCTTCTCGAATGAAAAAGTTCGTTATTCAGTCGATAAATGCAATCACTATCATAGATTCATAAGCTCTAGATGTCCATAAAAAGTAGGGTAGAACTTGCACTTGCATGACGTTTGGTTGTGCACTTTTATTCTAACAAAAACGATTACGTGTTCATATGGATAAACTTTTAGTGTTAAAATGCCTCAGATATTTGATATTGGTTGTCCATTGATTTGTCCATCCGTCCCAACTTCAGGGAGCTAGGATTGTAGATCAATGTGTATGCATAACAAGGTGGGGAAGTTATACTGATGAATCCGATGCTTGGAACAGTCCTTACAACCCCGAAGGCAACACTAGCTTAACGGTACGTGTAAATTAACTGCTTTGTTGTTTTGGTTGAAGATTTATCACAGTACAAGCTTAGCATAACAAATTTTTCATGTGCTTCTGAAAAATTGTTAGACTGTTTAAAATTCTATTCAAACTTCATTATTTCTCAAATTTGTACGACGTTATCAGACTTATCACACGAGTGAGTTCATCTCTACTCCTGGAGAAGCAGTAACTGTTGTCAAAACAATGGCAGCCAAGGGATATGTTTTGGGGAAAGGCGCATTAACCAAGGCCAAAGCTTTCGATGAGTCCCATCAACTCTCAGCAACTGCAGCAGCCAAGGTTTGCGAGCTCAGCAACAGAATCGGCCTCACTGAAAAAATTTACGCAGGCATGGAAGTTGTTAAAACCGTGGACGAGAAGTTCCATGTTTCAGATATTACCAAATCAGCTGCAACCGTTACTGGAACGGCAGCTGTGGTGGCTGCTACGTATGCTGGGCAAGCAGCTGTGGCAGCAGGAAGCGCTGTGTTCAACAGCAGCTACTTTGCCAAAGGAGCTCTTTGGTTTTCAGATGTATTGACTCGTGCAAGCAAAGCTGCAGCCGATTTGGGTACTCATGGCGGTAAATAAGGTCCAACATTTGTCTATATTGTTTTGTGTCTACCAATTTCACTGCAAATAAATCATCTTTTGTTACATGCCAACCTAGGTTGGAAATTGTTGGTGTTGGTGTTTAAAGTCGCAGTATACCACATTCAAGAGTTGGTGCTTAAAGTGATAAATGGCTAGTTTGGAAGTGCTTTTAAAATGATTGAAAGCGCTCTTGATGAGAGTACTTTTGAAAACAATTCTTAGTAAAAATGCAAGTGAATCATGAAAAAGCACTTTAAGAGATTCCTGCAAGAAGCACATAACTGGTGATTCTTGCAGGAAGCACTTCAAGTGCTTTTGGAACCCAATAACACTCACCATGGTAAACATGTGTTTAGAATCCCGGGCTCATATCCGCTTTCTTTCTTCTTCTCTCGCCTCACCTAATCAGTTAAACAGAGATAGAGAGATAAAATATGAAGTCATGACATGCAAGTGTTTCTCCGCCTAATTGGTCTAAAGTAATTTAGTCAAAACACTGATGCAAACGATGACCCATTCAATATGCTCCATCAACACGTTTGACCCGATTATTTGAAACCTACCATTCTTGGAAGGCAAGCAATCAGCAAGCACCCTGGAAGATCAGCAACTGGGACTTCACTCCAAGTAACAACCAGAATTAATGTTAAATATTTCAAATATCATTAATTTCATCACGGTTGTTGTTGTTAGTTTTCATCATTTAAGGTTTAAGCTTCACAACTCCCTCTGCCTCCCCATCAACTACTTCCTAATTTTTTTATGATGTTCTTCATCTGCCAACCAAACATTGTACACTTATTTATACACTTATTCAGCATCGCAGCAGCTACTCCTGCTCAAGTCTTTACTTTCAAACGACCCCGTGACGTTCTTCCAACTTTTAAATCATGCTTTTTTTTTTTTTTTTTGAGCCACCATCTACGGAGCAGTTGTAGGTTGCGGCTGCCCTGTGCGGCAAGTTCTAGAAACGGGTGGGGCCGGATGGGTCCAGATGCACAGTGTGTCACTTCTAAGAAAATTATGTTATATTTATTTTAAGACGCGTTTCACAAAAGCATAAATGTATTTTAATCTCACCTTACTAGTCTCACTCGATGTGAGAGTTACCCTAATTAAATGTTACCTAACCCATGAGAATCATGTTTTATAAGATTGATTAATAAATTGGTTTTGGATCATGAGATCTCAGCTTTATGGCCATTGCAGATTATGAATGTTCACTGACTTTGCTCCTCCTACGCTTTGTTTGGTTTATGGTTTGTTTAAGACTCCCATCATTCAAAGCATATTATTATACAACTAGAAAGCCTGGAACTTGTTTCCCTTTTCACTTTCCAGGGAATCAGCCTAACATAGGGTAAACGCGTCTGACATTTGGTAATTTCTTAAACGAACCGTTAATCGAACGTAAAACGATATGAAAATAGCAGGTTTTGGGTCAATTTGTTAAAGGGTCAGATCATTATCAAATCACTTGTTGAGAACTCATTAACGAGTCGGATCGTTAACTCTTTTTTTTTCAAAGTTGTACTAAGTGGCAACCCAAATGCAAATTTTCGATAATGTCGTTACCCTTTTAAATTAATGGGACTGTTTTATTAAATGACATAATGTTTTCGACAAGAAACGGTTGTTCATTACACTCTTTTCTTCCTATCCCTTTCTTTTTGGTCACCACATTAATGTGCCCTCTATTTCTTAACAACCCAAATTGATATGATTTGATTGGATGCAAAGCGTCACGTAGCCAATTGTTATAACCGATATTAGAGCTTTTTTCCGTCTTACTCACCATGTTAACTGCTACAACGATATTTCAATAGGACTGTCCATTTATGACAGTTCTCGCACTCTATAAGACCAACTTAGAATCGATGAGACTGAAATATAGAGAGTTTCATACTTTCGTGAGAAATATTTACAAATAACATGGTCAGATGGCCATAACCAAAATTTTTAAGATCTCCGAAATGAGAGAAGCCAATGTCACGAACAAAGTTTTACAACATTCATCATCCGATAAGTACACAAACAATAAAAATACATGATGCGTATTAAACTTAAGATGATATATTCTCGATTATAAGTAAGAGTCTTTGCCTCAAAACCCTACCATGGATATGATTGCCCAAACTATGAGAGATGAGAATAGGAAATGAGAGATGGTAAAAATTTTGGCACTCAATATTCATTAATTTGTATTGTGTTAGTGTCCCTTAGTGGCACCATGTCATGATATTGTATTCTGCCTGCATGGCCAGTATAATTTCTATATAAAAACTAGTCTGCGGCCTCGTTCATTCGCTTCAGGTGACTCTAAGTTTTTTTATACGCTTTGAGGGTCACACCCACACATTTGCTTTGACAACAAAGCTAAGATAAAGGGGGCATTTGTTTATTTTGCAGAACCTAATTTTTCAGAAACTTTTATTTAAATATACGGAAATACTAGCGAGACTCGGTCAAAAAGCTGTCATTATTTCCCATGACGTCTTGAATATTGTTTAACATTTTATATGTATTGAGTTATAATTTTATACCAAAAATTACAATTTGACACAAATGTAAGTTGCAAATTATTATTAAAATAAATCAAAACAAATGTAAAAGTAATTGAGTATGTTTCAAATTGGTGAGAAGTCGAAAGACGGTGGATTGACTAGGGCACTAAACTTCTGTTGTTTCGCCGACATTGACCCTTGATGGTTTCATCCACCTAATGTGCTTGGCATGAAGATGAAGCATCAAAGATGTTGGATGACCCTTTCCATCTCTGAGATGGTTGAAGCCAACTGCTATCCAAATACAATACACCATAAAATAATAATGTATGGATAATTTATTCAATCAAATGACTAACATACTACGATTTCACGCTTAACTATAATAATATTTTTCTTGTATAATATATAGGAGTCGATAGTTGTACAATCAGTGATAAAATAGATTTCTCATTAATGACAATTTTGGTGTCAATTTTAAGTCAAGTGTTTTGTAACCAGAAAAAGAAAATTCAAAATATCATGATGAAGAAGGAAATAAACTTGTGTGGACGCATCCGATTATGTTTTTAACCAAGGATTTCTGACAACAGTATGATGCTCTATATTTTAATCTCATCTGACCTTACACTAATTTCATTCAGTGTGAGAGTTGTCTTAATCAGGTTTAGTACCAAAGTTTGCAGAAGTAAAACGAGAACAAATAGCTGACAATCTACAATGCATGGACAAGGAAACAAAAATACAACACGACACGGGTATACGAGAAGATACCACCGTGTCCATTCATCATGGCTGACAATATTATGCATTTCAAATGTGGCCTTCAGATTCTTGCAAAGCTTCATATAGTATTACAATGCAAGGCTTTCTCATATAGGTTGAGGGAACCTGTATCTGCTTGAAAGATTATTCCACTGTTTCCTATTGCAGTTTTTTTTTTCTTTTCTCATCAAATGTACCAAAACTCTTTACTGTACAACAAACAACTCACCAACCAAAAAACCCAAAAGAGAAGAAGAAAACAAGCACAAAAATGGTTAAAACTATTCAGTACCTGAATTTAGGACTAATAGCAACATATGGGGCAGCGTATTAGGCCATTTTCGTTACAATCCAGGCAGCGTTGGAACCCCGATTCACCCTCCTCCGCCTCCTCCTCCTCTTCTTCGTCGTCCCGATCAATGTCTTCGTAATATATTTTACAGCTCCCTGAACATGTTTCGCAAGGCACAAACCTTATATCCCCACAAGCATCACAAACTCCACCACCATCTCCGCCGCCACAACCGCCTTCCAATTTTTCACAAGAATCGAGCAACTTTTCGAGCTTCCCGTCTTCGTGCAATTGCCGAATCTCATCAGTTCCGCCAACGTACTTATTCCCAACAAACACTCTGGGCAACGGAGCCTCATTGTATCTGTCCTTGAGAAGCTCCCTCAGCTCCTCCTTGAACACCGAATGCATCGACACGTCCCGCTCGTCCACCCGGACCCCTATGCCCTTCAGTATCACCCGCACGTGGCAACAATCCTCGTACGTCTTCCGTACCCCTCGGAGGCTCGTGAAGTACAATACCACTCTGTCCCTGCCCTTCTTGTCCTGGGCCTCCAATACGTCGTTGCAGGCCCAAGCCGGCTCCTTGCTGACTACCAAATGCGCTAAATCGAAAGGATCTTCCTCGGATTTGATCTCCGATAATGATTTCCGGAACGCGGAGATCACATCCGGATCAAAATCTGCAATCAAAGAATTGGATTTCACCTGATCATTGTCATCCGACATTTGAATCCACATTGGCTGCGGCTTAGGGGGAGAGTTCCCATTTTCTTGGAATCTCGATTTCTGGCGGTCGGAAAGGGAAATCGGCCTCGGACACGGGTCCCGAACAACGTCGAAAGAAAAGCTCCGAAGGTGATGGGCTGGCGACCTGAGAGGGCTCATGTCCTCGAGGCCTTCCATCAACTCCCATATATTGATCGTCTCCGGCTCGCCCGGCGGCGTCCTGGTCGGAGTTTTTGGCACAACTTTTGGGATTTTCGCTTCGATCATATTCGACCACGTCTTGGCTTCGATTAGTCCCACTGAGAATTCCTTGTTCCCGTGCTCGATCATGTTCTCGTTGGTATCATCGCATCCGTTAGCAATTACTCTGTTTTCAGGGCGATTGAGAGAACCTAAAGTGGAGGAGGTGAGGGCGACGACATGGTAGCTGTCACCTTTGGTCTGCGGCGGGTGGTGGACATGCATTGAGTAGCTTCGGGAAATCGGAGAAATGGCGCTTTCGCAGTGCCGGCACCGCTTTTCCTTCGAGGTTGCGCAACCCATCGGACCCCAAAACTGCCAAAACTCGATCCGATACGAACGAGATTCAATCAAAAATCAAAAGGGTGTTTTTCTAAACAATCGGAAATGGAATTCATCAGGAGAAAAGGGGAAATTGTGGGATTATGAAGAAAGGTTAGAAAACCATTCTTCTCCTTTCTTCTTTGTGAATATATTTGCGTGACGAGAGATACAAACACACGTGAGAAACTCGCATTAATGGCGGAGAGACTCGAAACTGTGGATTTTCTCGGAAGAGACCTGGAGGAGAAAAACGACGAAGGAGTGGATTTTCTCGGAGGGTCCTAGTTCTGGAATTTGCAGTCCGTAAGGGAGAGGACAAAC